TGTCGCCCAGGCTGGAGTGCAGTGGCGCCATCTCAGCTCACTGCAAGCTCCACCTCCCCGGTTCACGCCATTCTCCTGCCTCAGCCTCCCGTGTAGCTGGGACTACAGGCGCCCGCCACCACACCCGGCTAATTTTTGTATTTTTTTTTTTTAGTAGAGACAGGGTTTCATCATGTTAGCCAGGATGGTCTCAATCTCCTGACCTCGTGATCCGCCCGTCTCAGCCTCCCAAAGTGCTGGGATTACAGAGGTGAGCCACCGTGCCTGGCCACCTTTTTTTTTTTTTTGAGACAGAATCCTGCTCTGTCACCCAGGCTGGAGTGGAATGGAGCGATCTCAGCTCACTGCAGCCTCCGCCTCCTGGGTTCCAGCAATTCTCCTGCCTCAGCCTCCCAAGTAGCTGGGATTACAGGCACCCGCCACCACGCTGGGCTAATTTTTGTATTTTTAATAGAGACGACGTTTCACCATGTTGGCCAGGCTGGTCTGAAACTCCTGACCTCAGGTAATCTGCCTGCCTTGGCCTCCCAAAGTACTGGGATGACAGGCGTGAGCCACATGCCCGGCCTGGACCACATTCCTGATCAACTTTTTGGCCAGTAAAGTCTCTTGAGACTTCCAGAAGAGAAACACAAATCTCACAATGGCCGATCTGCGGAATCTGAATGTTTCTTCACAATGGATAGGGGCCTTCTGCCTTTCCCGGGAGAGGTGAAAACACTGCACGATGGTGCAGATCAGAGCGTGTGCGGTCCCAGGGGACATGTCCATCCTTATGTAGAGCTGCCGATTTCTGGTCCTTCAGGAGAATCTGGAGAAACAGGCTGAGCTGGTTGACAGAGCCCTCCCCAACACAAGCGCCATTCGGCACATGCGCCTGCCCTCCCTAGATGTGCACAGAGCCCCTGCTGCGTGCCACATGCCACAGCCCCAGGAGACAGCTGGGCAACTGCAGCTGGTCCTGCATCCCCGGGCGTCAGGGCCAGGGAGGAGACGGCCTGTGAGCAGACATGCAGTGTATCCCGGGTGGTGGAGGAAGAAGAAGAAGAAAGCAGGACCAGGGGACAGAGGGTGATCAGCATCAGGCCACAGGGGCTCCAGGAGGGTTTGTCCCCAGGCTATCACTGAGCAGTCACCTGCAGGCTCAGCGGGGAGGGGAGCCATAGACAGGGGGATGGGGTCGGTGGGGTGTGGCTGTGGCAGGGCCTTGGGAGGGCTTTGAGCAGGACATGGCATGGTTAGGGCTGTACCTTGAGAGGACACCTCTCTGGCTGCCAGGAGGACAAAGATACTGGCGAGGAAGGAGGAGGGTGAGGGGCTGGGGTGCTCTCCAGCAAGGGCTGTACAGCTGAGGCCAGCCCTGCTCTGCTCTGCCCCAGCTCCTGCATAGAAACTTCTACCTTCCTCTCTTTGGCTCATCCATTGGTGCTCAGTGCAGCCTAGGTAGCACTCACTCTGTAGTTCTGGTTTTTTCATGGCCACCTATGGGAGTGTGGGGACAGGAGTACCGCCACCGTCATAGTGTCTGTCAGGTGTCTGTAGTCACGGTGTTCATCAAATGTATTGTCATGATCATCGAGTGTCTGTAGTCATGGTGTTCATCAAGTGTCACAGTCACAGTGTTCATTGAGTGTCCGTAGTCACTGTGTTCATCGAATGTCACAGTCATGGTGTTCACTGAGTGTCACAGTCATGGTGTTCATCGACTGTAACAGTTAACGGTGTCCATCGAGTGTCACAGTCATGGTGTCCATTGTATATCACAGTCATGGTGTTGAGTATCACAGTCACAGTGTTCATCGAGTGTCCGTAGTCACCGTGTTCGAGTGTCACAGTCACGGTGTTCACTGAGTATCACAGTCATGGTGTTCATCGACTGTAACAATTAATGGGGTCCATCGAGTGTCACAGTCATGGTGTCCATTGCATATCACAGTCACGGTGTTCATCGAGTATCACAGTCACAGTGTTCATCGAGTGTTCACACAGTTCATCGAGTAGTCATTGTGTTCGAGTGTCACAGTCATGGTGTTCATCGTGCGTCACAGTCATGGTGTCGAGTGTCACAGTCATAGTGTTCATCAAGTGTCATAGTCATGTTCATTGTGTGTCACAGTTATGGTGTTCACCAGGTGTCTGTAGTCATGGCGTTCAAATGTCACAGTCATGGTGTTCATTGAGTGTCACGGTCATGGTGTTCATGAGTGTCCGTAGTAATGGTGTTTGAGTGTCACAGTCAAGGTGTCCATTGAGTGTCCCATAGTCATGGCGTTCATCAAGTTCCACAGTCACAGTGTTCACCAAGTGTCACAGTCACAGTGTTCATTGAGTGTCACAGTCACGGTGTTCATCGGGTGTCATGGTCATGGTGTCCATCAGGTGTCCACAGTCATGGTGTTCATGAGTGTCCCGCATGGGGCTCAGGACAAGTGTGTGAAAATGCTAGAGGAATGAATGCTTGAACCCGGAAGGCAAAGGTTGCAGTGAGTCTAGATTGTGACACTATACTCCAACCTGGGCGACAGAGTGAGACTCTGTCTCAAAAAATAAAAAAAGCTGTAACTTTCATGAGGTTGTCCTGTGCTGCGGGGAATGTCTCCTTGTCCCCAGCACTGATGCTGTGGATGAGTGTCCATAGTCATGGTGGCATGGAGGCTGGCAGGAGTCTACGGCAGGGCCCGGTTGGGGGCTGGGTGGTGTAGAGCCTCTTTGCCTTCTAATCCATTTTCCCCAGAATGACCCTCACACCTTGCTCCTTCCCCTATGGGGTTGGAGGTTCACTTTTTAATATAGATCCATAGTGGTATTGGGCTAAAATCTTTACTGATACTTTTCCCTGGCAAATGGGCTTTTAGACTCCGGAACAGTCTACTGGGTGGCTGATATTTAGCCAAGCAAAGGGCACTGGGGTCAGAAAGATCTGGATCTGAACCTGCCCCTGCACTTGACGTGAGCCCCTGATCCTCCTTGGAGGTTTTCTCGTCTAGACCGTGGGGAGCGATGGTGCCGCACCTCCTCTGAAGAGTGAACGAGGCCACGCGGACAAAGGCCTCGGCCACCGTGCAAACCCTACAAATACTCATTCTTTTTAGTGAAGACTTTTTAGTTTAGTGCTAATTATTTTAATAATCAGGTGAACTGACTTGTTCTGTTAAAAAATGAGCCTGGGCAACATAGTGAGACCCCCACCTCTACCAACACTTTTTTAAAGAATTAGCTGGGCATGGTTGCACATTTGTGTTCCCAGCTACTCAGAGGCTGAGGCAGGGTTGCTTGAGCTTGGGAAGTTGAGGCTGCAGTGGGCTGTGATCGAAGCACTGAACTTCAGCCTGGGTGACAGAGCAAGACCCTGTCTCAAAAAAAAAAAATTTTTTTTAAAAGAAAATACAGTTTACCCTCTGCATTCATGGGCACTGCATCCATGGATTCAACCAGCCAAGGATGGAAAATATTTGGAAAAATAATGCATCTGTACTGAACTTGTATGGGGTTTTTCCTTCTCATTGTTCCCTAAACAATGCAATGTAACAGCCATTGGCATAGTGCTTACGTTGTATTAGGGATTATAAGTAATCCAAAGGCCGGGCGCGGTGGCTCAAGCCTGTAATCCCAGCACTTTGGGAGGCCAAGACGGGTGGATCACGAGGTCAGGAGATCGAGACCATCCTGACTAACACGGTGAAACCCTGTCTCTACTAAAAAATACAAAAATCAGCTGGGCGCGGTGGCGGGTGCCTGTAGTCCCAGCTACTTGGGAGACTGAGGCAGGAGAATGGCGTGAACCCAGGAGGCGGAGCTTGCAGTGAGTGGAGATCGCGCCACCGCACTCCAGCCTGGGCGACAGAGCGAGACTCTGTCTCAAAAAATAATAATAATAATAAGTAATCCAAAGATCATTTACCTTATACAGGATGGTATGTTTAGGTTATATGCAAACACTATATCGTTTTATGTCAGGGACTCAAGCATCCATGGATTTTGGCATCTGAGGGGGTCCTGAAACTCAACCCTTGCAGATACTGAGGGACAGCTGTACTGTTTTTGGTTTGGTTTGTTTTGAGCCAGAGTCTTACTCTGTTGCTCAGGCTGGATTGCAGTGGTGAGATCATAGCTCACTGTAGCCCCTACTTCCTGGGCTCAAGCCATCCTCCCACCTCAGCCTCCTGACTAGTTGGCACTACAGGCGTGTAGCATCACACTCGCTAATTTTTTTTTTTTTTTGAATGTTAGAAGAGACAACGTCTCACTGTGTTGTCCAGGCTGGTCTCAAACTCCTGAGCTCAAGCGATCCTCCCACCTCAGCCTCCCAAGGTACTGGGATTAAGGCGTGAGCCACCACACCCGACTAGACACTGTACTGTTAAAGTTCAATTTTCTGGCCGGGCGCGGTGGCTCACGCTTGTAATCTCAGCATTTTGGGAGGCTGAGGCGGGCGGATCACAAGGTTAGGAGATTGAGACCATCCTGGTTAACATGGTGAAACCCCATCTCTATTAAAAATACAAAAAAAAAAAAAAATTAGCCGGGTGTGGTGGTGGGTACCTGTAGTCCCAGCTACTCAGGAAGCTGAGGCAGGAGAATTGCTTGAACCCGAAAGCCGGAGCTTGCAGTGAGCCAAGATTGCGCCACTGCACTCCAGCCTGGGCGACAGAGCAAGACTCTGTCTCAAAAAAAAAAAAAAAAAGTTCAGTTTTCTTTGAAGAATCTTGACATGGAGAAAAAGCCCTGCCACACAAGTAGATCATCTACAAAGCAGAACTCAGATGGGTTCGAGTCCCACCTCTGCCACTGACAGTGCCTCAGTTTCTTCATCTGTAAATTGGGTGCAGTGATAGTCCCAGCATTACAGCGTTGTTGTGAGATGGTGTTAATTTGTGGAAAGTGCTTCCAGCTGTGCCTGGGCTCCTAGGAGGGTCTCCACCAAGCAAGGCAGCTCAAGTCCGGCGGGGTTAGAACTCGCTCTAACCCCGTGGGGCTTGTGTATGTGTTTGTGGTTCTAGCACCCAGACTCCAACTCTTCCCCTGCTCACCACGGGGGCCAGCTATACTGCACAGCCCACTCCTGGGATGGACCCCGCCGCAAACCCGGCCTTTCCCCCAGCTGCCCCAGCAGGGTACGGTGGATACCAGCCCCACTCCAGCCAGGAGTTCACCTACGGCAGCCGACCCGAGGAGCCCGTCCCCACGGCCACCACCATGGCTACCTACCAGGTATCCAGTCCTTTCTTTCACCAGCATTGCTGGGAAACGTGGATCGCCTTGCGTGGGTGAGAGCAGTGGGTTCCCCGCAGCTACTCCTTCTCCCAGGCCTCTTAACCGTGATCCTTCCTTCGGGACCCTTCTGCTGGCATTATGTACCTGCGGTGGGGAGAAATCAGGGCAGAGTCGCTTCCAAAAGAATCCACTGCTCTCAGGGACAGGCGGCATGCATACCTCCCCATCGGGGCAGTGGGGACAGTGACAGCACTCAGAGCTTTGTCCCAGCCTCAGCAGTGATTATGAAGGAGGATGAGGGTCACCTGGGTTGGAGGACCCCTCCCTGGCCAGGACAGATGGCCTCAGTCTCCTGGCCCCACAGAGACCAGGACTCACCCCACCTTCCGCAGGCTCCGGGTTCCTACCTCTCTAAGAGGGTGTCTGTGGCATGTGGGGCACAGCTGGGTGGTGACAATCCCACCTTCCCAACCAAGGCACTCAGGCTGCAGACCCAGCCACTGTGTTCCCACTTGGTGTCGCAAAGATGTCCCCCATGACCATGCTCCAACTCCCCAGCCCTGCCGCCTGCACCTCGTCCCCAGGTCATGTCGGTCAACGGCATCAGAGGCCACCTGTCACCCGAGCTCAGCACCCACCTGACCCCACCCTCTTCCTCCCTCTCCGTTTCCTTGCTAAGGCCTCGGGGGCTTCTCCGTGCAAACCCACCCTCTCCTCCCACACCCAGCGTCCTCCTGTAAATCGCAGTCGGACTCTTGGAAATTAGTGTCAGCTCCATGAGAGCTGCTGTGTCAGCCACATCCCCTGCCCCCTGCCCCCGGGCCAGGGCCTGCTCTTGGGCAGATGCCTAAGAGCCAGCGCTGCAGGAAGGACTACATGCAGAGTGCAGTGTGGCCAGGGCACGTTACACCTGCCGCCTGAGCTACTCTCCTGCGGAAACCCCCACATAGGACAGTTACAGCTACGGACAGTCGGTGGCTGCCAGGAGCTACGAGGACAGGCCGTACTTCCAGCCTCCTGCCCTCCAGCCTGGGTGCATGACAGCCACAGACTCCTGCCAGCCAGGTGAGCCATCTGCAGGGTCGGGGCTGCGGATGAGGAGACATTCCCTGCAGCACAGGAAAAGCTTGGGAAAGTTACATCTTTTTTTTTTTTTGAGACAGAGTCTTGCTCTGTTGCCCAGGCTGGAGTGCAATGGCGCAATCTTGGCTCACTGCAATCTCCGCCTATCGGGTTCATGCCATTCTCCTGCCTCAATCTCCCAAGTAGCTGGGACTACAGGTGCCCGCAACCATGCCTGGCTAATTTTTTGTATTTTTAGTAGAGATGGGGTTTCACAGTATTAGCCAGGATGGTCTCGATCTCCTGACCTCGTGATCCACCCGTCTTGGCCTCCCAAAATGCTGGGATTACAGGCATGAGCCACCATGCCCGGCCTGAAAGTTACATCTTTTCTTTCTTTCTTTTTTTTTTTTTTTTGAGATGGAGTCTCGCTCTGTTGCCCAGGCTGGAGTACAGTGGCGTGATCTCAGCTCACTGCACCCTCTGCCTCCTGGGTTCAAATGATCCTCCTGCCTCAGCCTCCCAAGTAGCTGGGACTAGAGGTGCGTGTCACCATGCCTGGCTAATTTTTTGTATTTTTAGTAGAAACAGGGTTTCACCATGTTAGGCTGGTATCGAACTCCTCACCTCAGGTGATCTGCCTGACTCAGCCTCCCAAAGTGCTGGGATTACAGGTGTGAGCCACTGCACTGGTGAAAGTTACATCTTAACCATCCTAGAGGTGGCACAAGGTAGTTCATGCCTGTAATCCCAACACTTTAGGAGGCCCAATCAAGGTGTGAGAATTGCTTGAGCCTAGGAGTTCGAGACCAGCATGGGCAACATAGTAAGACCCTCTCTCTACAAAAAATGCAAAAAAGTTAGCTAGGCATGGTGGTGTGCACCTATAGTCCCAGCTACCCAGGAGGCTAAGATAGGAGGTTCGCCTGAGCCCAGGAACTAAGCTGCAGTGAGCTGTGATTGCACCACTGCACTCCAGCCTGGACAGCAGAGCAAGACCCTATCTCTAAAAAAAAAAAACAAAATAAAGGCTAGTGGCTCACACCTGTAATCCCAGCACTTTGGGAGGCTGAGGTGGGCAGATCACAAGGTCAAGTGATCAAGACCATCCTGGCCAACATGGTGAAACCCCCGTCTCTACTAAAAATAGAAAAATTAGCCAGGCGTGGTGGCGCATGCTTGTAATCCCAGCTATTCGGGAGGCTGAGGCAGGAGAATCACTTGAACCTGGGAAGCAGAGGTTGCAGTAAGCCAAGATCGAGCCACTGCACTCCAGCCTGGGCGACAGCGAGACTCTGTCTCAATAATAATAATAATAATAATAATAATAATAATAATAAACATCCTAGATTTGCAGGTGAGCCTCAGGGCTGGCTGCTCAGATGGGCCCTGGGATCTCTGCCAGGTGTGGGCCTATGAATGAGGGAAAGTGAGAACCTAAAATGCAGCTAACATTTTTTCCAAGGAAGCTTTCCCCGGGTGGCAGGAGGTGAGCTCTGTGGGTGAAGGAGCCGGGGACGCGGAGGAGCTCTCCTCCCCCACGGCAGGAGGGAGAAGCTGGGCTCTGGAAAGGACAGGTGGGCACAAGGTCACCCGCGAGTCCCTGCCCGGACCTGGCCCTAGGCTCTGACCTGTGGTCCCGGCTTAAGCATCTAGCGTTTCCAGCCAGTTGAGCCCGGGGTCCATCCGCAGGTGAGGGGCAGTGGGGTGGGGGCTGGCTCTGCAGAGGGCCTGTGCCTGTCCCCTAGGGACCCAAGAGGCCTGCAGGCATCCCAGCCCCCCTGGCGGTCACAGCTGTGCTCAGCCCCCACAACAGGCGCCCAGAGTGGAGGCCAGACAGCCAGCCAGCGCCCTGTCCTCGGGATACACCTACCCCACGGCGACAGGCGTCCAGCCTGAGTCCTCGGTGTCCATCGTGACCTCCTACCCCGCGCCCTCCTACGATCCCACCTGCAGCGCCTACACGGGTAAGACCAGCGTTCCTTGCCCAGGCGGTCGGTCCGTCGGCCCCCGCTTCAACTCGAGTGGAATCAGCACCTCCCCCCGACTCACTGTTTTCTCTGCTCCTTAGCACCAAGCTACCCGAGCTATGATGCGTCGGTGTACTCCGCCGCCAGCCCTTTCTATCCTCCAGCGCAGCCCCCGCCTCCCCCGGGACCCCCGCAGCAGCTGCCCCCGCCGCCCACGCCCACAGGCTCAGGAAGCAGCCCCAGGGCCGACTCGAAGCCGCCGCTTCCCAGCAAGCTGCAGAGACCCAAGGCCGGGCCCAGGCAGCTCCAGCTTCACTACTGCGACATCTGCAAGATCAGCTGCGCGGGCCCCCAGGTCAGTCGCACTCCCGCCTTGGGCGGGACCTCTCTGTTCCTAAGGTCTGAACCCGAATGTGGGCGCCGGGGGGTCGGGATCGCTGCCTGCTGAAAAAAGGTCCGGGGTTAAACTTGCATGGTGTATGCATGTGCCTGTGTGTGCAAGCGCTTGTGTCTTGTGTGTGTGTGCGTGTGTGCGTGCAAAGGTGTGTGTGTGCGCGTGAGTGCAAAGGTGCGTGTGTGTGTGTGCAAGTGTGTGTGTGTTTATGCATGTGTATGTGTGTGCATATGTGTGTGCAAACGTGAGTGTGCGTGTACGTGTGCGTGCATGTGTGCGCGTGTGTGCCTGCGTGTGTGTGTGTGCCTGCGCCTGTGTGTGGGTGCACGTGTGCTTGTGTATGGCAGTGCTTGTTTGGGACACACGTGAAAGACTCTTTACCAGACATACGCGCTTGAGGTTTTAAAGCTTGCACATCACCCCGCAGAGATCGTGGGCTCGTTTCCTGGAAAGATAATCAGACCCTAGAGCTCTGTCTTTGCAAAACACACACCCTGATCTTTTGTTTTGAATGCTCTGAAAGCAAGCTCTGGACCGCGGGAGACGCGGAGTCTCTGGAGAGGTGTGAGACCGCTCAGGACACCCTATCAGGACCCCTGACCCAGCTGGGGATGGGGGGCCCGGCCCTGCTCGGGACCCCTCCCGCCACAGATCACCCTTTCCCTGTCTCAGGCTCTTTGCTCCGGCAGCTCTCCACTGCATCTCATGCTAGGAGAGACCCTGGCCTTCTTTGCAGAGTGCTTGGATACAAGTTTGAGGTTTTGTTCTGTTTTGTTTTGTTTGGAGACAGGGGATCTGGCTCTGTTGCTGAGGCTAGAGTGCAGTGGTGCAATCACAGCTCACTACAGCCTCCACCTCCTGAGTTCAGGTCCTCCTCTCAGCCTTCCAAATAGCTGAGACAGGTACGAACCACCATGCCCAGCTAATTTTTTTTATTTTCAGTAGAGATGGGGTCTCACTATGTTGCCCAGGCTGGTCTCGAACTCCTAACCTCAAGGAATCCTCCTGCCTCAGCCTCCCATAGTGCCAGGATGACAAGCTGAGTCCTCGCACCAGACGCATGTGGGTTATTTAATCCTTATATCTGCCTTGTGGCTACCATCTCTGTGTGGCAGACAAAATCCCAGAGGTTCAGAAAGGGTCAGTACTTTGAGGAACTCAGAGTCAGTTTTAGTGACCCAGGCAGAAATCAAACCAAGATGTGTTGAAGCCCATGTGGCTAGTTATTCCAGAATACGCCAAAAGTGCGCACAGACAGCCTATTGGCCGGACGCGGTGGCTCATGCCTGTAATCCCAGCACTTTGCAAGGCTGAGGCAGGAGGATTGCCTGAGATCAGGAGTTCGACACCAGCCTGGCCAACATGGTGAAAACCCATCTCTACTAAAATACAAAAATTAGCGGGGCATGGTGGCGGGCACCTGTAGTCCCAGCTACTTGGGAGGCTGAGGCAGGAGAATGGCGTGAACCTGGGAGGCGGAGGTTGCAGTGAACTGAGATTGCCCCACTGCACTCCAGCCTGGGTGACAGTGAGACTCTATCTAAAAAAAAAAGATTCCTAAGTTCTAGAGAGCATACATACAGTAAAATGTGTGCCTCTCCCACATCCTATTTTTCTTCCCTAAAACCAGACGATGTCACCGAGTTCCTGAGCGCTAAGCCGGTGGCCTGCAGGGGAGCGGGCAGTGTCCAGTGTGCCCCAGTATTTTCAGGGGCACTTTTCAGTCTGCAGAACGTTTATTCTTGGCATTGTCGGGGCGTGTGGGTTTCATGGCCCACCTGCCACGTCTTGTCTGTGGGGGGCTTCGTTTCAGGATTTTAAGCAGCACACCCAGGATTCTGCCTGAGGGCCTGGCTGTCGCTTCCCCAGACGCAGTCAGATATTTTGGGCCCAGGAGTACCGGATGCGTAGGCCTGTGACTCACGGTAGCTTCCCCCGGGTGGAGCCCCTGTGTCTATTAGCAGTTTCCGAAGACGGAAGTGTACATGACTGTCCTTCGGGCAGCAGGTGCCCTTGCTTGGTTTCCGAGGTTGAATTCTGAAAAGTCAGAATTTTCTGTATACAGCAGCCCCCGAAAGGAACGCGTGATGCGTGGAGCATGCTTTCCTAAGAAACTCCTTGAGTTTCAGAAGAAGGGAGAAGCCTTATGTCTAGCAGCCTGAGCCTGTGGGTTTGTTACGTGGGCTTCATAAAGGGACGCTTGAATTAGCCAGGCGTGGTGGCGGGCACCTGTAGTCCCAGCTACTTGGGAGGCTGAGGCAGGAGAATCGCTTGAACCCAGGAGGTAGAGGTTGCAGTGAGCTGAGATAGCGCCACTGCACTCCAGCCTGGGTGACAGGGCATAACCCTGTCTCAAAAAAAAAAAAAAAAAAATTCGAGAAGTCTATAGTAAGAAGATAGGCTGGGCGCGGTGGTGTGCTCCTGTCATCCCAGCACTTTGTGGGGCCAAAGCAGGTGGATACTTGAGGTCAGGAGTTCAAGACCAGCTTGGCCAACATAGTGAAACCCCGTCTCTACTAAAAATACAAAAATCAGCTGGGTGTGATGGCACATGCCTGTAGTCCCACCTACTTGGGAGGCTGAGGACGGAGAATCACTTGAACCCAGGAGGCAGAGGTTGCAGTGAGCTGAGATTGCGCCACTGCACTCCAGCCTAGGCAACAGAGCGAGACTGTCTCAAAAAATAAAAAATAAAAATAAGAAGAATAAAGGGACACTTGAACCTCCGTGGCACCAGGGGATGGAGGGCTGGGGACAGTGGGCGTCTGTTACCACCGAGTTCGTGCGTGCTAAGCTGGGGGCCTGCAGGGGAGGGGGCGTGGCCAGTGTGCAAACCCCCACTCAGGCTGCCTGTCACCCCTTGCTGCAGACCTACCGGGAACATCTGGGAGGGCAGAAGCACAGAAAGAAGGAGGCGGCCCAGAAGACAGGCGTGCTGCCCAACGGGAGCCCACGCGGGGTGCAGGCACAGCTACATTGCGACCTGTGCGCCGTGTCCTGCACTGGGGCAGACGCCTACGCGGCCCACATCCGGGGAGCCAAGCACCAGAAGGTACTGCCCCACCCATCCCAGGCTCTGCCACCCCTGGGGAGGAAGCCCCCAGGTCAGCACTTAGGACCCACAGAGGTGCCTGGGGAGATCAGAGGGAGCCCGGAGAAGCTTCCCCAAGTGGAGCGCGCCCAAGAGCCGGCTGCCCAGGCCCATGCGTCCTCATCTTCAAGGATCCAAACTCCTTTCCAGTCATTTTATCTTATTTTTCATTTTATTGTGTTTTCTAAATGAGAGAAAATCTTACTCTGTCCCCTAGGCTGGAGTGCAGTGGCGTGACCTTGGCTCACTGCAAACTCTGCTTCCTGGGTTCAAGCAATTCTCATGCCTCAGCCTCTCGAGTAGCTGGGATTACAGGCACCCACCGCCGCACCCGGCTAATTTTTGTATTTTTAGTAGAGACGGGGTTTCACCTTGTTGGCCAGGCTGGTCTGGAACTCTTGAGCTCAAGTGATCCGTCTGCCTCAGCCCCCCAAAGTGCTGGGATTACAGGCGTGAGCCACTGCACCTGGCTGGACTCCTTTTGACTTATAAAAGGGGTTCCTCCTCATTGCACAAAAACATGAAGTGGCTGAGACACTCACACCCAGACTTCCAAGAAAGCTTGGCATTCAGGCGTGGCGACGGACAGGGCTTGCCTTGAGATCCAACGCTGTATTCCCTTTGGGGTCTTGCTCTTCACACTCGCTGCTGTAATAATCACTGTTCTCCTGTGGCCTTAAAAAGGCCTGGGTTAGGCGGGGCACGGTGGCTCATGCCTGTAATCCCAGCACTTTGGGAGGGCCGAGGCAAGTGGATCACGTGAGGTCGGGAGTCTGAGACCAGCCTGGCCAACATAGTGAAACCCCGTCTCTACTAAAAAATACAAAAATTAGCTGGGCGTGGGGGTGCACGCCTGTAACCTCAGCTACTCAGGAGGCTGAGGCAGGAGAATTGCTTGAACCCGGTAGGTGGAGGTTGCAGTGAGCTGAGATCTCGCCACTGCACTCCAGCCTGTGCGACAGAGCAAGGCTCGGTCTCAAAAAAAAGAAAAAAGGCCTGGGTTATGTCAAGTTCAGCCGGGAGGGGATGGAGTCCCCACCTGAGGGCAGGGAGGGGAACAGCTGGCTTGTGCTGTAACCGGGGCTGTCAGGCTGAGCCACCCTGGGAGGCCTGGCTAAGGACCTGGCTTCTTTCCCTCAGCTGCCTGAAGGCTCATCCAGGGCCTCATTCCCTGGCTCGGCTCAGGACAGCTTACTGAGGGCCTGTGTGAACCCACGGGGGAAAAAGGAATGCGCAGGGAGGCATGGAGGAGGGAAGGAGGGAGGCAGAGAAACGGGGGAAGGAGACTCACTGGCCTGGGGACCGGAGAGCTAGGGGCCGGTGGGGCAGAGCTGCAGGCATCACCCCCACAGGCTGGGGCTTGGTCTGGGGGTCAGGCAGGCCCTGCCACCCACTGTGGGGTTGGGGGTTACAGGGCAGGTCTTGTGCAGCGCGTGTCAGAGACTCGGAGCTGGCAAATGTGTCTGAGATGGTCCCCAGCACACACACCGCGGCCCTGTGCACACGACACCTTTGCCAGAAGCGCCTTGCACCCGGAGGTGCTGAGAATAGGGCATGGCCAGAATACGGACGTGACCACGTGCACACGCGCGTGCAGAACATGGGTGTCCGTCCAGGGACGCATGCACGCCCACCATCCGTCCACACACGCTGAGTCCCGGGCAGTCGGGGGCACTAGGATGGGGCTTGGGAGGTTGAGAGGCCCCACCTGGCAGCCCACGTGGTGGAAGAGGAGGAAGAGCGTCCACGTGAGCCGGTGAGCACGTGCTCACACGTCAGAGGAGTGTCACCACGCTAGAGGACTCACAAGCACGTGTGCAAGGCAGGAGGCCACCTGGGAAGGGCCTTCTGGAGTGGGTGACATCCAGAGAGCAGGAGGAGAGAAGAGGTGGGGTCCCCAGGACCAGCCTGCCCACACTCCCGCTGCCCGCCCGTGGAGGCCCTTCCTGCCTCTTGAAAAAGGCCATCAGGCTGGGAGTGACCCTCACACAGGAGCCCGGCTCTGTCTGTTGCAGGTCTTCAAGCTGCACACCAAACTGGGGAAGCCCATTCCCACCCTGGAGCCTGCACCGGCCGCAGAGAGCACCCCCGGGGTGGAGGCCAAGCCCTCATCCGCCACTGGCCCCAGCGTGTGTGCCCCGAGCAGGCCAGCACTGGCCAAGAGACCCGTGGCCTTGAAGGCCTCACTCGAGGGTATGTGCGTCTGCGTGCGTGTTCGCGTACCCACAGGAGCCCTGGCCACCCTGCCCAGTGAACATTTTGTGAGAAAATCGACCATCCAGTTGGTTTTCGTCACGTCCTCCGGGGGGTGGTGTGGGGCTGGTGCCGTCTCTCCCTCAGTCCAGCAGAGCGAGAGGGCCTCCCACTGACCCACCCCGCCCCGAACCCTCTGAGACCATTTCCAGAGAGTGCTGGCAGAACCGATAAAATGGTAATGCCATTTCTTCCTGTAGAGTTTTTTTGTTTTGGTTTGGTTTGAGATGGAGCCTTGCTCTGTCATCCAGGTTGGAGAGCAGTGGTGCGATCTCGGCTCGCTGCAACCTCTGCCTCCCGGGTTCAAGTGATTCTCCTGCCTCAGCCTCCCGAGTAGCTGGGACTACAGGTGCCCGCCACCACACCCGGCGAATTTTTGTATTTTTCGTAGAGACAGGGTCTCACCATGTTGGCCAGGCTGGTCTCGAACTCCTGACCTCAAGTGATCCACTATCCTCGGCCTCCCAAAGTGCTGGGATCACAGGCATAAGCCACTGTGCCCGGCCTCTTCCAGCAGAATTTGGGCTGGTGCTGGGTGCTGGGGTTCACTGGAAGCCCTCACGCTGCACCTAGCGGGTTCCCTGGGCTGCCACCTCGACTCTGCTCCCCTGCGCACCCTGGTGGTCACAGTGAACAAACTGGGCTCAGAACCAGAGTTATGTGGGTACCAGGAAATGAAGGTGGATTCCCTACGTCCCTCTGCCTGTGACCCTACCTTCCCTGCGTGCAAAGCCCCAGCTGTCAGAGGTGGCCCGCGTTAACCAGGATTAAATGCCAGGCATCCGCTCACTGCTTTGTGTGCATTGCTTCACTTTACCTCCATGACAACTCTTTTTTCGTGGTTTGTTTTGTTTCTGAGACAGTCTCACTGTGTCACCCGGGCTGCAGTGCAGAGGTGCGATCACAGCTCACTGCAGCCTCCACCCCCTGGGCTCAAGCAATCCTCCCAGCTCAGCCTCCTGAGTAGCTAGGACTACAGGTGTGCACCACCACATCCCACTACTTTTTGTTTTTTTTTTTTTTTTTTTTTTTTTTTTTTTGTAGCAATGGGGTTCTGCTATGTTGCCCAGGCTGGTCAGAAACTCCTAGGCTTAAGTGATCCTCCCGCCTCGGCCTCCCACAGCCCTGGGTTTACAGGCATGGGCCACTGTGCCCAGCCCACAACCCATTTAAGTCAATGTTGTCACCAGTCCCAATGTGTAGATGGAAAAGCCGTAAACGATGGAGGTGGAGTTGGAACCCGGGTCTGTCTAAGAGTCTCTGCCCTGGACCAGCGTGCTGTGCGTGGGCAGGGGCTGAGGGAGCCGCATTCTGTTTTTAACCTCAGCAGCCTTGATTCTTGAATAGCAACATGATTTTGAAGATCAAACCATCAAGTCATTCTGATAACGAAGATACTTGTCTCACCCGAGGCACCATAATTTTGCCTAACGGGGGTAGGTTAAGTACGAGCCTTGGTCCGCCTGATACTTCATCGTCTATTAACTGTGGATTTTATGCTGTCGGTGGGTTCCTCAAGTGAGGACCTAAATCCAGGACGTCCCCACTGACGGATTGAAACTGGCCTCGGTTTCTCGGCTGGGTCACACGCAGGCATGAAAGGGAGAGCGAGGTCGCTGCCCGGTGCTGTTCCCCCCGACATCACAGGAGGCGAGCCTGGGGTCTGGGTGGCTCTCTACCCCATGCCACCTGGCTGGTTCGCAGCCACAGTGCTTTCTCCTGGAACAGGGTGTCAGTGACACGGTTTTTCCCCTCAGGGCCTCCTGAGCCGCAGATAGCAGGCTGCAGACCCCAGAGGGGGAGACCAGCCCAACCCAAATCAGAGGGTCCTGGAGCACCCGCCCAAGGAGGCTCGGAGGAAGCTCCCCTGGGCTGCTGTGATGCGCAGGCAGTGGGCCCAGAGTATGTGGAGGAGGTAAGCCGAGGCTGTCAAGCCCTGGTCAGGGAAGGACTTTCCCATGGGTCAGGCTTCGAGACCTCACCCGGCTTCTCCCAGTGGGATTTACAGACCCATCCCCGTTCCCAAGCTGCACAGGCCAGACCTCCATAGACCAAACCCCGTGCAAGACCCGCTTGACACTTTGGGTGCCAGATTTCGGATACCAACAGGAAATGAATATGGCCCCGTGAGGGCCAGAGACAGGCCGAGGCATTCCCAACAGGGGGCCCCCTGGAGCCATCTGTCTGGAAGGTGGAAGGGCTCCGGGCGGGAGAAAGCTCCCCGGGAGGTTGGAGGCCGTTCCGTCCAGCTCCTTTCCTGGGCCTGGGGGATCTCGGGACTTATCAAAGCCAGGCTAGTGAGCAGTGGAGCCAAGCTCCCGGGCCAGGTCTGCCAGTTCCCACACCAGTGGCAGTTCAGACCCTGGTTGGCCTTGCTCGTGCCAAAGAGGCGGGGCTGGGTTTCCTCTGCCTTGACTGCAGGCCTGGGATTCTTTAAGAGACAGGGTCTTTTTTTTTTTTTTTTTTTTTTTTAGACGGAGTCTCGCTCTGTCGCCCAGGCTGGAGTGCAGTGGCGGATCTCAGCTCACTGCAAGCTCCGCCTCCGGATTCGCCATTCTCCTGCACCTCAGCCTCCCGAGTAGCTGGGATTACAGTGGCCCGCCCACCTCGCCCGGCTAGTGTTTTGTATTTTTAGTAGAGTGGGGTTTCACCGTGTTAGCCAGGATGGTCTCGATCTCCTGACCTCGTGATCCGCCCGTCTCGGCCTCCCAAAGTGCTGGGATTACAGGCAGGCCACCGGATGGTCTCGATCTCCTGACCTCGTGATCCGCCCGTCTCGGCCTCCCAAAGTGCTGGGATTACAGGCTTGAGCCACCGCGCCCGGCCAAGAGACAGGGTCTTGCTCTGTCACTGAGGCTGGAGTGCCGTGGTGCTGTCATGGCTCACTGCAACCTCAAACTTCTAAGCTCAATCAATCCTCCCACCTCAGTCTCCCAAGTAGCTGGGACTACAGGCATAAGCCACCACTCCCAGCTAATTTTTTAATTTTTATTATTTTTTTTGTAGAGACGGGGTCTCGCTATGTTGACCAGGCTGGTCTTGAACTCTTGGGCTCAAGCAATCCTCCCGCCTCCCATGGTGGTGCATGCCTGTGGTCCCAGCTACTCGGGAGGCTGAGGTGGGAGGATCACTTGATCCCAGGAGTTTGAGGCTGCAATGAGCCGAGATCGAGCCACTGCCCTCCAGCCTGGGTAACACAGCAAGACCTTGTCTCTAAAAATACATACATACACAAAATGACCAGCAAGGAGGAAGGCTCCGCAGCGACCTGGCATCGGTAGCATCTCACGTCCCACCGGCCTCGTGCCTGGTGTGCGTGCAGCTGTTTTGTGTCTCAGGTGTGCAGCGAGGAAGGGCGAGTGCTTCGCTTCCAGTGTAAGCTGTGCGAGTGCAGTTTCAACGACCTTAACGCCAAGGACCTGCACGTGAGGGGACGGCGGCACCGGCTGCAGTACCGGGTGCGTCCAGCAGGGGGAGCCCCGACACCCGTCCGGGGTGTGCTGGGCCCGGGCGGGCACTGGGAGGCCTCCTCTGGTCCGGCCTCTTCCGCCCGTGTGATCCGATGAAGTTAAGAGGGTGGGGTGATTTTCTGTGTTTTCAAAGTCTTGCTCCACGTCTCAACAGTGTATCTTGGGTCGGGTGCGGTGGCTCACACCTGTCATCCCAGCACTTTGGGAGGCCAAGGTGGGCGGATCATTTGAGGTCAGGAGTTAGAGATCAGCCTGGCCAACTGGCCAACATAGTGAAATCTTTACTAAAAATACAAACCTTAGCCAGATGTCGTGGCGGGCACCTGTTATCCCAGCTACTCGGGAGGCTGAGGCAGGAGAATGGCGTGAACCCGGGAGGTGGAGCTTGCAGTGAGCCGAGACCACACCACTGCACGTGGGCCTGGGAGACAAGAGCGAGACACCCTCCCAAAAAAAAAAAAAAAAAAAAGGCTCTGGGAGATTTCAGCCCAACAGTTCTAGTCTCTGGGTCTCTCCCTGCACCCCAAGACCCTCCCGGCATCCCTGTCTAAGGCAAGGTCCCTACTCTCAGAGCCTTGCCTCTCCTTTCCAGAAGAAAGTGAACCCCGACCTTCCCATTGCCACGGAGCCCAGCAGCCGGGCTCGGAAGCTCCTGGAGGAGCGGATGAGGAAGCAGCGGCGCCTGGCGGAGGAGCGGCTGGAGCAACTGCGGCGCTGGCACGTGGAGAGGAGGTGCCCGGCTGCGGGTCTTGGCAAGGGGGCCTGGCGAGGGAGGGCAGGTCCAGCGTGGAACCAGACGCCTGCCGCTGCAAATTATGAGGATACCCCGTGTGAGCTCTCAGGCAGTGGGGGGAGTCAGGTGCCCGGGCAGTGGGCACGTCCTGGTGTGGGAGCACGAGAGGGTTCCAGAGCAGACGGGCTAAGGCACAGTGGTGCAGGCACCTCTGCAGACGCAGGGACACTGCCTGCCAACTCACTGGACCGCACGGCTGCAGAGGCACCTGGTGACCTGTGTCCCCCTGACCCCTGTGTCCCCTGACTCCTAGTGTCCCTATATACCCTGACACCTCGTGTCCTCTGTGACCCCTTACCCCTGGTGTCCTCTGTGTCCCCTTACCCCTGGTGTCCTCCGTGTCCCCTTACCCCTGGTAGCCCCGGGTCCCCTGACCCCTGGTGTCCCCTGTGACTCCTTACCCCCGGTGTCCCCTGTGTCTCCCTGATCCCCGACCCCTGGTGTCCCTGGGTCCCCTTGACCCCTGGCATCCTCTGTGTCCCCTGACCTTTGTGTCCCCTGTATCCCTGACTTCTGATGTGCCTTGTGACCCCTGACCCCTGGAGTCCCCTGTGTTTTCCTGACCCCCGGTGTCCCCCTGACCCCTGGTGTGCCCTGTGACCCCCTGACCCGTGATGCCCCTGCGTTCCCTGAACCCTGGTGTCCCCTGACCCCGGTGTCCCTGGGTCCCCTGACCCTTGGTATCCCCTGAATCCCCTTGACCCCTGGAGTCCCCTGTGTCCCCCTGATCTCCTAGTGTCCCCTCATCCCCAGTGTCCCCTCATCCCCAGTGTCTCCTGTGTCCCCTTGACCCCCGGTGTCCCAGTGTCCCTGACCTCTGGAGTCCCCTGTGTCCATCCCAGAGCATTTTCTGATGTAACATCTGACTCTAGTGTGTCCAGCAGCAGCAGGTCTGCATTGGGAAGGGAACCAGGACTTCCTGAAGGCTGCGGCTGCCCAGGCTGGGCCTCTTTTGCCTAAGGGGTGTTTGGTTCCCCCCCCGCACCGGCCTTCCCAGCCTCAGTCTTCTGTGCATACAGCAGGCGCCCATGCAGTGCAGCGGAGCCCCAGCAAAAGCTTCAGCCCTGCCTTCCTTGCTGGGAGCCTGAGGCCCCAGCGTCTCTGATGTGCCCCCAGCTCAGGGCCGCTGCTGGCCTGACCACGCTCTGTCCTGTCTCGGACCTGCAGGCGGCTGGAGGAGGAGCCTTCCCAGGACGCACCATCCGACTGGGCCCACTCTCTGCTCATGGGCAGGCCGGAGCCACCCACCAGCACCCAACTCCAGGTAGGTACAGCTTCCTCTGTGTGCAAATGCGGGCAACCTCACACCCCCCGGGGCAGCGGACACCTCCTTAGGAGGATCTGACCTCCCCCCCAACTCCCATATAGTACTCAGGGGATGGGGCTCCACGGCCCGGACCGCCTCACTCCACAGATGGGAGCCCCAGCGCCCCAGCCCCTACCGTTGGGCCACAGAGAACCCTTCTGCTTCCTGGAGCCCCGGGTGGTCGCCTCCCTTGGGGAGCCTCGTGCCTCTGTGGCTACTCCTGTCTCTTCTCAGATGAAGCTGTCCCCGTGGCCCGAGCCCCCAGGTTCAATGGGGACCTCTTTTTTTGAGACAGAGTCTCACTTGTCACCCAGGCTGGAGTGTAGTGGTGCAATCTTGGCTCACTACAACCTCTGCCTCCCGGGTTTAAGCAATTCTCATGCCTCAGCCTCCCAAGTAACTGGGACTGTGGGCGCCTGCCACTATGCCGGGCTCTCTTGTATTTTTAGTAGAGATGGGGTTTCACCATGTTGCCCAGGCTGGTCTGGAACTCCTGGCCTCAGGTGACCCTCAGCCTCCCACAGTGCTGGGATTATAGGCATGAGCCACCGCGCCCAGCCTAAATGAGAACCTCAGATTTGCACCTTGCTGTGAGAAAGGGGTTTCCAGGCTGACTCAAAAGCCTCTGGTCTGGAAATTTAAAAGTATGGCCAAAGGTGGCGGAGGTTCCCCCCTATTCCTTCGCTCAGACCCAAGCTTCCTGCAGCCATCAGGGGCAGCCCCAGGCACTTCCCCGTTCCCCACCCCGGGGCTCTCTGTGTGTACTGGATTCTCACCTGGCCGTGCTGCTGCCTGGTAACCCGGCTGGCCACGGCCACCTGCCCCCACCTGCCCGCCTGCCCAGCACTCCCCAAGGGACCCCACAGCCCGGCCTTGACATGTGCGGCCTCTCCCCACAGCCCGGGCGGCGGCCGGCATCCAGCGACGACCGGCATGTCATGTGCAAGCACGCCACCATCTACCCCACGGAGCAGGAGCTCCTCGCCGTGCAGAGGGCCGTGTCCCACGCGGAGCGGGCCCTCAAGCTGGTGTCTGACACGCTGGCCGAGGAGGACCAGGGCGACGGAGAGGAACAGGGCGGCAAGCGCAGGTCATTGGAGATCCCCTTCCCCGGGGCCCAGCTCTCAGCCAGGACAGAGGTCAGCTCCTCGGGACGAGACCCTGCAGGAACCCCCAGCTCTGATGGGCCCTCAGCCCTCAGTGGCCCGCAGCAGCTTTCCAGCCCTGGGAGGGGGAAGTTCCCCAGGTCTCAGAGCTTCTTGGCACCAAACGAGGCTGGTTTGCAGCGGGTGGTCCATGCGGTTCTAATGCCTTAGCGTTCCCTTTTGCTGTTGAAGGCGCATCTAAAAACGTCGTTCACGAGGGACTGACAGTCTCTGTAAACCTCAGTTTCCTCATCGGCAGAAGGAAGCTCAGCGTGATTCTGAACGGACTTCTCCGCCTCGGGGAGTAGTGTAATCAGAGTGGTTCGTGTCACTGAGCACCCGTGTGAATCAGCTCCAAACCCCTGTGACTCTTAGGAAGCGAGAAGGTCCCTACGTCGTCTAAGTAATTGCCATGGAGTGAACTCATCCGGGCGGGAGTCACCTTTTGTTGAAGTCCTTCCTGCTCTGGCAGCTGCTGGTTTTTGTTGCCCTTTTTCTTTTTTTGAGACGGAGTCTCGCTCTGTTGCCCAGGCTAGAGTGCAGTGGCCGGATCTCAGCTCACTGCAAGCTCCGCCTCCCGGGCTTACGCCATTCTCCTGCCTCAGCCTCCTGAGTAGCTGGGACTACAGGCGCCCGCCACCTCGCCCGGCTAGTTTTTTTTTTTAATATTTTTTAGTAGAGACGGGGTTTCACCGTGTTAGCCAGGATGGTCTCAATCTCCTGACCTCGTGATCCGCCCGTCTCGGCTTCCCAAAGTGCCGGGATTACAAGCTTGAGCCACCGCGCCCGGCCGCTTTTTGTTTTTTAAGAAACAGATCTCGCTCTGTTACCCAGGCTGGAGTGCAGTGGCGTGATCGGAGCTCACTGACCCTCAGACCCCCAGGCCCAAGCTGTCCTCCCGCCTCAGCCTCCCGCGTAGCTGGGACTATAGGCGCCACCACCACACCCCGCTAATTGTTAACTTTTTATAGCAATGAGGGGTCTTGCTGTGTTGGCCAGGCTGGTCTTGAACTCCTGGGTTCAAGCGATCCTCCCACCTCAGCCTCCCAAAGTGCCGGGATTACAGGGTCACTCTAATCTTTGAATGCTTTTCTATTGTGGTAAAATCCACATCACACAACACTGAGCATGTTAACCTGTCTAAGTGCACAGTTCAGGGGCACACAGCACGTTCACACAGTTGTGTCAGCAACTCCCCAGTCATCTCCAGAACTGTCTCATCTTCCCAGACAGAAACTGTCCCGATTAAGCAAACTCCTCATTTTGTTTCATGCACCCACGCGTGCCCACCCTGTCTCTGTGGATTGGCCTGTGCTGGACAGTTCACAGAAATGGAGTCGGACACCATGTGACCTTTTGTGTCTGGCTAATCCACTCGGCCTGAAGGCTTCCTTTTGCTGGAGCATAGAGTACTGACTCCATATAGGAAATGTGAGCCTCCCACCTGTGGGTTGCAAAGTGTCTCAATACAACGAGCACCCAGGAACCTGCCCTCTGCCTTTTTTTTTTTTTTTTTTTTTTGGAGACCAAGTCTCACTCTGTCGCCCAGGCTGGAGTATGGCGGCACAATCTCGGCTCACAGCAACCTCTGCCTCCCAGGTTCACGCCATTCTCCTGCCTCAGCCTTCCAAGTACTGGAACTACAGGAATATACCACCACACCGAGCTAATTATTATTATTATTATTATTATTAATTATTTTGAGACAGAGTCTTGCTCTGTCTCCCAGGCTAGAGTTCAGTGAGATAATCTCGGCTCACTCCAATCTCCATCTCCCGGGTTCAAGCGATTCTCCTGCCTCAGCTTCCCGTGTAGCTAAGACTGCAGGCACCCGCCACCATGCCTGGCTAATTTTTATATTTTTAGTAGAGATGGGTTTTCGCCATGTTGGCCAGGCTGGTCTCAAACTCCTGACCTCAAGTGATCTGCCCGCCTCGGCCTCCCAAAATGCTGGGATGACAGGCATGAGCCACCGCGCCCGGCCGTGAATTTTCTTAACCCCCGTGAAGCAAAGGCAGAATGCGGCCTTGCTTTCTGTCCCCTCTTGAGCCATGTGAGCCGAAACAACAGGGTGACAGAGTCCGTGAACGCTGGAGCCATCAGACCTCACGGGGCGGGCCTGGGGCTTAGCGTTTGCTCACGGGGAAGGAAAACGTGGGTTTGGCCACTCGTCCCGGCTACTCCGAGGCATGCCCGGTGACAGCACTTCCGAGATGGATCTCACGGTGTCTCATTTCATCCCGCAAGCGCCTCCCACAGAGTCGCCTGGTCCCATTTCATGGATGAGGATGCCGAGGCACAGAGGGGCTCTGCAAATGGCAGGGTCCCTGTCGCTCAGGAGCGAGGCAGCTGGGGTACCCCGCGTCTCTCCACTGACGGCTCACGTCTGTGGCTTTGTCCCCACAGCAGCGTTGCCCCCCCGGCTCGGGTCCTGAAAGGCGTCATGCGGATAGGCATCCTGGCGAAAGGCCTCCTCCTGCGCGGGGACAGGAATGTGCGCCTCGCTCTGCTCTGTTCCAAGAAGCCCACGCACAGCCTGCTGCGGAGGATCGCCCAGCAGCTGCCCCGGCAGCTCCAGGTAAGGTCAGGACCCCGCCCATCGCTGCTCCAGGCGTCTGGCTGCCAGCCCTCTCCCCGCAGGAACCTCTGTTACTAAACGACTTTAAGATAAAGAAGCATTAAGCCAGGCACAGCGGCTCACGTCCATAACCCCAGCACTTAGGGAGGCTGAGGTGGGTGAATCACTTGAAGTCAGGAGTTTGAAACCAGCCTGCCCAACATGGTGAAACCCCATCTCTACTAAAAATACAGAAATTAGCCAGGCCTGGTGGCTCACGCCTGTAATCCCAGCTACGTGGGAGGCTGAAGTGAGAGAATCACTTGAACCCAGGAGGCGGAGGCTGTACTGAGTTGAGATTGCACTGCTGCACTCCAGCCTGGGTGACAGAGCGAGACTCCGTCTCAAAAAAAAAAAAAAAAGTAAATGATGGTGAAAGCTGCACAGAAAACATTTGCAGCAATGATGACTAGAAAGCCGTAAGAAAAAGCAAAAACCCAATTTCAGTTTTAGGGCTGTGAGATGTCAACTGAATTTTTTCCTCTAGAGAATTTTCGTATACTCTTCTCACACTGGAGGATTTAAATTGATCATCTTAGGTTTAAAAAGAAAAATCAGACTGGGAATGGTGGTTCATGCCTGTAATCCCAACACTTTAGGAGGCTGAGGCAGTTGGATCACCTGAGGTCAGGAGTTCAAGACCAACCTGGCCATCATAGCAAAACCATGTCTCTACTGAAAATAGAAAAATTAGCCGGGCGTGGTGGTGGGCACCTGTAATCCCAGCTACTCAGGAGGCCGAGGCAGGGGAACCATTTGAGCCCTGGAGGCAGAGGTTGCAGTGAGCAGAGATCGTGCCACTGCACTCCAGCCTGGGCCACAGAGTAAGACTCTGTCTCAAAAAAAAAAAAAAAAAAAAGAAAAAAGAAAAATGAAAAATTGGTCCCCAGAGTCGTTCCTTCTTCCTGAGCGTCTGTCACCATCCCTGGGAAAACTCAGCCTTACTCCTTTGACTTTTCCAGTGGACACTGGATGCCCAGGGGATGGGCAGCACCTGGTTGGGGAGACAGTGTTCCCCATAGAAGGACCAGAACCTGCAGAGGCCAAAAGCAGGAGGCCTAGAGCAAGGAGGGGTGGGCATGAAGGAATGAGGGGGTGCCTGGATCAAGCTGGGCCTGAAGGCCATACTAGGAGCTAGGATTGCATTCTCAGGGAAGTGGGGAGGCTGGAGGGTTTTGAGCAGGGGAGTGACATGCTCTGACTTCAATGATGGAATTTCACATTTCCTGCACACCTACAACATGTCAGTGGCTACAACGTGACAGATACAGCCCCTGCTTTCTGGAAAACTTGCAGCCCAGTGGCAGAGACAATAACTGAGTACTATGAGAATGGCTAAGGCTGTGGGGAAGCTGGCAGCATCCACCCCAGTCATGTCAACAGAGCCCCTGGGGGCTGACTTGCAGCAGGGAGGCCCTGAGAAGGGAAGGGATGGAAGATCAAGGAGAGAGGGGAGAGAGGTGGGTTTTAGGTGGGAGGCCAGGCTCAGGTGTGAGCACAGGCCGCATGGAGGGTGATGACCATGAACAGGAAGAGCAGACTGTGACACAGACCTCTTGACCTATGTCCTTCTGACAGGAGATGGTGGCATCTCATTATAGTTTTAATTTACTCCTCCCTGACTATGGGGTAATGTGTGTCATTGTGTAAAAAGGGCCGTTTGTGTTTCTTTTTCTGCCAAGTATCTGTTACTTCACTCACCAATTTTTTATTGGATTGCTGATCTTCTTGTTATTGAATTATAGGTGTTCTTTACATATGGAAGCTCCTTATATCACAGGGTCTGTTGTCTGTACATATCTCTACACGTGTGTGCTCCTGGAGGGCTGTGGCTGTGTCTTGGTCACTTGGAGGTTTCAGACACAGGGCACAGGGCCTGGCACCCAGGCAGCAAGTGTGGGAGGCCCGACAGGATTAACTTACACACACCAACCACGTCCTGGCTGATTTACACATGAATCTGGGCTGCAGTAAGGTGGCCTTGTGTTGTATTTATCCCTCCCAGATGGTGACCGAGGATGAGTATGAGGTCTCCTCTGACCCTGAAGCCAACATTGTCATCTCCTCCCGCGAGGAGCCCAGGATGCAGGTCACCATATCCGTCACCTCACCCCTGATGCGAGAGGACCCCTCCACAGACCCAGGTGCGGCCCAGCCCTTCCTTCCGACCACTGTCCCCCGCACGCTTCCCGAGGGTGCTCCCCACACCCAGGCCTGGGGCAGTGTCCGCCTCTGCCCTGAGCAGGAAATGCCACAGCAGCCACACTCCAGCACTGGTGTCCCCCCGAGGATTCCATGGGTCACACAACAGCTGGGTCTCCGGGCAGCAGAGGAGGCGAGTCGGTGACAGTGTCAGATGGACTCAGAGCCTGGCTGCAGGGGCCGTGCTCAGGCGAGTGACACCATGTCACCTCCCTTGCCCTGACCCAGGGCTGGCACCTGCTTCTCCGGTCCTGGCAACACCAGCCCCAGCGACAATGGACAGGTCTGAGCCATTTCCCCCAGGTCACGGCAGAAGCTCAGTTTGACTCTGTCCGTCAGTCACCGCGGTCCCAGTACCACTGATTAGGAACCTGGGGAATCGGGGGGCTTAAAGCCAGACCTGCCAGGCCTGGGAGGGTGGGTGAGGGGCTGGGCCAGGCTGGGGGCAGCGAGGGTCTTGGCCAGCAGCCACAGCGGAGGCAGCCATTGGTAACACACTGCACGTCTGTGCTCCCGAAGTCTCAGCCAGCTGTGGAATCTTCCAGAACAGTCTCTAGGGCAGTTTTCCAAACTCCTATCATCTTTCACCCCCTTTATAATCTCTTTTGGTCATAACTGAGGGCCATGACCTGCTGAGGTTTCTCTTTCCATCGATTTGATATTTTTTGTTGGTTTGTTTTTTGAAACAGAGTCTTGCTCTGTCGTCCAGGCTGGAGTGCAGTGGCGCGATCTCGCCTCACTGCAACCTCTGCCACCTGGGTTCCAGCGATTCTCTTGCCTCAGCCCCTGAGTAGCTAGGACTACCGGTGTGCGCCACCACACCCAGTTAATTTTTTGTATTTTTAGTAGAGATGGGGTTTCACCAGGTTGGCCAGGTTGGTCTCGAACTCCTGACCTCAGGTGATCCGCCCACTTCAGCCTCCCAAAGTGCTGGGATTACAGGCGTCAGCCACCATGCCTGGCCCAATTTGTTTTTTAAAGCTTCAGTTCTTTGTTTTGTTTTGTTTTGTTTTGTTTTGTTTTTTTGAGACGGAGTCTGGCTCTGCCGCCCAGGCTGGAGTGCAGTGGCCGGATCTCAGCTCACTGCAAGCTCCACCTTCCGGGTTCACGCCATTCTCCTGCCTCAGCCTCCCGAGTAGTTGGGACTACAGGCGCCCGCCACCGCACCCGGCTAGTTTTTTGTATTTTTTTTTTAGTAGAGACGGGGTTTCACCGTGTTAGCCAGGATGGTCTCGATCTCCTGACCTCGTGATCCGCCCGTCTCGGCCTCCCAAAGTGCTGGGATTACAGGCTTGAGCCACCGCGCCCGGCCTGTTTTTTTTTTTTTAAGAAGAGCCTTTGAATCATTAAATGGAAAGCCACGATTGGTCCTCACAAATAGTTATCTAAAAACTAAGTACAGTGTGGGGAAGAGAGTGGCTTTCAGTGCTAGCCGAAGGCTCTGACACAAATGCGGAGGAGGCTGGGGAGTGGCGCCGTGGTGGGGGCGGGTTAAGGGTTGGCGGCCACTAGACAGCGGCTCTTTCCTGACTTGGGTGGGTGATGAAGTGAGCGGAAATCCTGTGAGGACCGATCAGCGACCGAAGACCCGTGAGCCACCCCCCAGGAAACTGCACTTCCTGTCGGCCTTTTCCTGCCCCCGCTTCCCCTCCCCAGGCCCAGCGTGGTGGGTGGGAGGTGAGCTTCTAAAACTCCCTTTCTAGGTCGGGCACAGCGGCCCACCTCTCTAATCCCAGCACTTTTGGAGGTCGAAGTGGGAGGATCGCTTGAGCCCAGAAATTCGAGACCAGCCTGGGCAACGTAGTGAGACCCCATCTATAAAAAAAAAAAATTTGGCGAGGCTCAGTGGCTCGCACCTATAATCCCAGCACTTTGGGAGGCCAACGCTGGCAGATCACCTGAGGTCAGGGGTTCGAGACCAGCCTGCCCAACATGGTGAAACCCTGTCTCTACTAAAAATACAAAAATTAGCTGGGCATGGTAGCACATGCCTGTAGTCCCAGCTACTCAGGCAGTTGAGGCAGAATTGCTTGAACCCGAGAGGCGGAGGTTGCAGTGAGCCAAGATTGCGCCACTGTACTCCAGCCTGGGAAACAGAGCAAGCCTCCGTCAAAAAAAAAAAAAACAAAAAACAAAACCGTTCCTCATATACACCTCTGCCATTTCCCTCTCTGCCCCAGCGGAGTCATTTCCCTGACAGATCAGCGGGGATGGTTGTGAACCAGTGGGAATCCTGGGCACCATCCCCTGACCTAAATGAACCAGGGCCTCCCACAGTGTTGTATGTAATGAAATAAGAAAAATATCCTGTTTTGGTTTTTGGTGTTTAAGAGATGGTGTGTCACTGTGGTCCAGGCTGGAGCGCAGTGGTGCAGTCATAGCTCGCTGCAGCCTCGACCTCCCAGGCTCCAGCAGTCCTCCCGCCTCAGCCTCCCCAATGCTGGGACCACAGGTGTGTGCCATCATGCCCGGCTAATTTTATTTTTTGTAGAGACAGGGTCTCGCCATGTTGCCCAGGCTGATCTCAAACTCCTGGGCTCAAACAATCCTCTTGCCTCAGCCTCCCAAAGCGCTGGGATTCCAGGAATGAGCCACCGTTTTCCAGTTGAGAAAAATATTCTTTTTTTCTTTTTCCTTTTTTTTTTTTTTTTTTTTGAGATACAGTGTCACTCTGTCGCACAGGCTGGAGTGCAGTGGCACGATATTGGCTCACTGCAACTTCCACCTCCCGAGTCCAAGCAATTCTCCTGCCTCAGCCTCCCGAGGAGCTGGGATTACAGGCGTGCGCCGCCATGCCCAGCTAATCTTTGTATTTTTAGTAGAGATGGGGTTTCGACATGTTGACCAGGCTGGTCTTGAACTCCTGTCCTCATGATCTGCCCACCTTGGCCTCCCAAAGTGCTGGGATTACAGGTGTGAGCCACCGCGCCCAACCGAGAAAAATATTCTTGAAGGAAAATAATAACCCGGGAGGGAAAAGGGACCCACATCTCTCCCAGACTCTGGGGCCATTGTCGTCAACAACAGGACGTGTTGAAATCTGACCCACTTTCTCCCTTTTTATGATGCATGTGGAAGTTTCTAGAAATCTAGCTTAATTCATAGTTTCCCATCTTCACCCTCATCGGCTAACCAAGAGCGTCAGGACTGAAATCCCTCAGTAGCAATAGGTAAGGTCAGAACTTCCCAGAAGATGAGGTTTTCCAGGAACGGTTTGTCTGGTCCTCACTGTGTCTTAGCAGGACAATCTGGGAGGAACCCTCATTCCCCAGATGGATAAAACAAGGCCTAAAGGATTGAGACCAGGCACGGTGGCTCACACCTGTAATCCCAGCACTCTGGAAGGCCGAGGTGGGAGGATCACCTGAGGTCCAGAGTTCAAGACCAGCCTGGCCAACATGGTGAAACCCCGTTTCTACTAAAAATACAACAATTAGCCAGATGTGGTGGCGGGCACCTGTAATTTCAGCTACTTGGGAGGCTGAGGCAGGAGAATCACTTGAACCCAGGAAATGGAGGTTGCAGTGAGCCAAGATCGTGCCACTGCACTCCAGCCTGGGTGACAGAGTGAAACTGTGTCTCAAAAAAGAAAGGATTGAGGGGCCCAAACCGAGCCCCTCACCCCATCGGCAGCAGAGTGGGATAAGGTACCTTCCCCGCACACCTTGAGGTTTTTCTTCTAGAAGGCGTGGAGAAGCCTCAGGCTGACCCAGGTGATGTCCTGAGCTCCGAGAAGTGCCTCGAGTCCCTGGCCGCCCTCCGTCATGCCCGGTGGTTTCAGGTCAGGGGGGCAGGAGTGGAGCGGGGGAGAGGGGTGACTTTGAGGAACGTGTCTCAGAGGCACCAGCCTGAGCCGGTGCGGCCGCCTCAGCCTCATGGGCTCCCAGCGCAGACCAGGACGCCCTCCATCAGCTTCCTGGCTGAGCACTGACTTGACAACCAACGCCGGCTCCCGGCTGATGGGGTCAGGAAACGTGGAAGGAGTGGGTGCTGTCCTGGGGGTGGGGACGCTGCCGTCCCGTGGCCACTCAACGGCCTGGTGGCACCGGACTCATCTGGAAGTGGACTCTGCTTCCACTTGCCACCTTCGAGGCCGCCAGGGCTCCCCATCGTCCTCCCCGGGGTTCATGCTCACGACACCACACCATGTGGCCATGTGAACCCCCGAAAGTGAACCATGTGCTTCTCCCCCGAAGGCTCGAGCCAGCAGCCTGCAGCCATGCGTGATCGTCATCAGGGTCCTCAGGGACCTCTGCCGGCGTGTGCCCACCTGGGCAGCCCTGCCAGCCTGGGTAAGGCAGTGCCTGGCGGCCCAACCCCCCACTGGGACCCCCGAGGGGCTCCGTGGCCCTGACAGGCCCAGGTCGAGAGACAGACCCCTTCCCGTGAAGGAGCCGGCGGGAGACGTAGCACTCAAGAGAGGCCGTGGGAGTCCCTGAGGTCCCCTGGGCGGGGGAGACGGCCCTCTGCACAGCCTCATTTGACTACCATTATTCAAAACCCAGAACCTCGCATGAAAATGCGGGACCGGCCAGGGAAATGTGCTGTGTCGGCCCGACTTCGTGGCACCACGGCAGAGGGGCCCAGGCAGAGGGGCGGAAGCCGGACTCCCCATCCTGGCTGCACACCGGCCTCTGGCTGACCCAGCCCAGACCCACCTGCTTTGGAGAGGAGACCCCCTGTGGCTCTAACACCACCCCCCACCTATCCTGGTAGAAAGAGGAGGGAGAAGCAGCAGCAGAACCCCCCACACACAAGGTTCATGGAGCAGACCCCAAGCCCATGCCCCCCACAGAGACCCCAGGAACCTATCCAGTCCCCAGGCCTTCTCCACCAGCCACAAGCCAGCCAGCCACACCCAGCCTCCTCCCCTGCCCTGCGGGTGTCCCCCATCCCACCCTGCAGTGGCGTCCCCCATCCCGCGCTGCAGTGGCGTCTCCCATCCCGCGCTGCAGTGGTGTCTCCCATCCCGCGCTGCAGTGGTGTCTCCCATCCCGCGCTGCAGTGGTGTCTTGCCTGTGGTCCCCGCCACCAGGCCCGTGTCCTTCATCCACACCCACCCACTGCCCAGTGTCCAGAATGCAGCGTGGTACAGAGGCTGTTTGTTTTGGTAGAGATTAAGTCTTTTTTTTACTTTTATTTTTTTAATCATTTTTTTGAGACGGAGTCTCGCCATCTCGGCTTACTGCAACCTCTGCCTCCTGGGCTCAAGCAATTCTCCTGCCTCAGCCTTCCGAGTAGCTGGGACTACAGGCACCCACCGCCACACCCCGCTAATTTTTGTACTTTTTTTTTTTTTTTTTTTACAGGCACCCACCGCCACACTCCCGCTAATTTTTGTACTTTTTTTTTTTTTGAGACGGAGTCTCGCTCTTGTTGCCCAGGCTGGAGTGCGGTGGCGCAATCTCAGCTCACTGCAAACTCCGCCTCCCGGGTTCACGCCATTCTCCTGCTTCAGCCTCCCGAGTAGCTGGGACTACAGGCGCCCGCCACAATGCCTGGCTAATTTTTTGTATTTTTAGTAGAGACAGGGTTTCACCGTGTTCACCAGGATGGTCTCGATCTCCTGACCTTGTGATCTGCCCGCCTCGGCCTCCCAAAGTGCTGGGATTACAGGCGTGAGCCACCGCGCCCGGCCTTTCACACCCATCGTTTAGGGGAAACGTCTTCTCCACTCCTGGGAGGCGCTCACAGCAGCCGGCTCCGTGCTGGGTGACCAGCGTGCGGCTGTCCCGACGCTCAGAAAACCTGTGTTCCCTGAGACCTGTTTTCTGGCTGTGGCTGAAGAGGTGGCCACACAGTGCTGTGGAGGCCAGCATTGCCCCATCCCCTCCTGCCCTCGGGAGCTGGCCACAGGGGGACGTGGTGGGGTAGGGCGGCTCCTTCCCCTCAGCTGAGGCGGGCCCCACGCGGCCGACAGTGCGCGTGACACTGGTGTGTGACGTTACTGTGGACCAACTGGGGAAACTGAAACTCGGAGGGGTGGAGAAACCAGCCCATATGGGAGGCTAAGGCAGCAGAATCACCTGAACCCGGGAGGCGGAGCTTGCAGTGAGCCGAGACTGCGCCACTGCACTCCAGCCTGGGCGACAGAGCAAGACTCTGCTCTCAAAAAAAAAAAAAAAAAAAAAAAAAAAACCAGCCCGTGGCCGTGCCAGGAGGTGGCAGAGCCACACCACGGGCCGCCCTCCTCAGCGGAAGTTCAGTGGGTGGTGGGAGTTAGAGAAAGAGCCGAGGGGGCCTCCTGTCCCAGGGACTCCAGGACCTCCCGGCAGACAGGGGCTGCAGCACCCCCCAAAAGCACAGCAGCCGCTCTTCTGTCCCCACCAGGCCATGGAGCTGCTGGTGGAGAAGGCTGTGAGCAGTGCAGCGGGGCCCCTGGGCCCTGGGGACGCGGTCAGGCGAGTCCTGGAGTGCGTGGCCACAGGGACGCTCCTGACAGGTCAGTCGCCGGGCCAGAGGGCCCAGAAGGTGGGCAGCAAATCGCAAAGACCAGGACCCATGGCCGTGGTACAGACGGCTGGGGTCACAGACACAGAGGAAGTGTCCAGCCCAGGCACGAGAGCGGCCCACGACACACACATGCTCCCAGCAGGAAGGCAGACAGGGCCGAGGCCATGGAGGACACCACCCTGCACGCAGGGCACAGACACGCAGGTCCCCGAAGGGAGGGCTCAGCCTCCACCCAGGAGACAACGGTTATGTTATCTGGTGGCCACGCCCACCGGCGGCGGCACAGAGCCACCCCGGCAGAGAGCCACCCCAGCGCCTGTCCTCCAAAGATTATCCAGAGGGAACAGCCAGGAGCTCAGATGACAGGGGGCACAGAGTTGCCCAGCACAGCGTGTTCTACACCAGCAGAGGGAAGAGAACGCGGCAGGACACACTCGTGTGAGAGGGTGGCGGTCAGATACGGAAAAGGGTGTTTTTGAGTCATTTTTAGTGACATAGGATATCAAGTGAAAAGAGAGCAGCATAAAGCTTTGGGCCCGTTGCCTGAGCCATTATGTAAAGCACACGTGTAGGCACGCACACGCACGGGCACACACGTGGACATGAGTGCATGCACATACACGGACATGCATGCACACGGGCACACATGCACATACACCCATGGGCATTCACATGCACAGACGGACACACGGGCACATGGGCACACATGGGCACACATGGACACACACATCAGCGTACATGTGCATATGCATGGGTGCACACAGGCACACACACACACACACACAAAGCCCAGGAGGTGCTGGCAGCCCAACGGGCTTTGAAGGGCTGGGAGGACTCCCCCGTGAGCCCGGGTGAAACCCTGACCTGCTGAGAGGCCTGAGGGTCAGAGGCTGCAAGTATAGCCCCCTGCATAGGCCTGAGGGTCAGAGGCTGCAAGTATAGGCCCCATGGTGTTGAGGGCCGGCCCTGTCACCGTGTTTCACGAGGGCATTCTCGCCTTCTTTGCTGTTCCCGCTCCCCCTCACAAAGATGGGCCCGGACTCCAGGATCCCTGCGAGAGAGACCAGACAGACGCCCTCGAGCCCATGACCCTCCAAGAGCGGGAAGACGTGACCGCCAGCGCCCAGGTAGGAGGGCCAAGTCCACGGCAGGGGTGACACCCAGGTCCCAGCTCCGGCTTGCAGCCGTGCAGTGTTCCCTGAAATGGCCCAGGTTCCACCTTCTCTCCCTCCCACTGAGATGTACAGGAACAGGAGGGTGGCCTGTGGGTGGCAGGACCGTGCATGGGGACAGGGCCAGCCTGGCATGGTGGCGTGGGGCTGGCAGCTCAGAGCCAAAGCCACCACTGCAACGAGGCCCAGACCTCAAGTCTCACGGGCAGGGACTGTCCTCCCTCCACATCGCTGACCATGGTCCTAGAAGCCCAGCTGTAGCTGGCAGCTCGGCCTGTCCAGCCCTCACCTGTGGTTTCCTTGTTTGCAAATTTGTTTATAAGAAAAATCTCCCAGCAGCACGAAAACCAAACCACAGCGGCTCTGACGTTTCTGAATTTTGCTTTTAACGGGATCCGTGAAATGACTCGCAGTGCAGGATGTGGGGCCCTGCAGTGAGGTGGAAAGAGCTGGTGGTCAGTGGAGTGGGTGGCCTCCTGGGACAGTCCTTGCAGTAAGCCAGCACCAAGCGAAAATTCCTCAGGCCCTGCGGTGGCCCAAGCTCAGCAGTCGTAAGAAGCCGTGTTGGCCAGGCCGGGTGGCTCGCACCTGTCCTCCCAGCACTTTGGGAGGCCAAGGCGGGCAGATCACAAGGTCAGGGGTTCGAGACCAGCCTGGCCAACACAGTGAAACCCTGTCTCTACTATAAATACAAAATTAGCCAGATGTGGTGGCACATGCCTGTAATCCCACCTACTTGGGAGGCTGAGGCAGAAGAATCACTTGAACCCGGGAGGCAGAGGTTGCAATGAGCTGAGATCGCGCCACTGTACTCCAGCCTGGGTAACAGAGCAAACTCTGTCTCCAAAAAAAAAGGTGCGGGGAGTGTCTTGAGGGACACAGGATAGGCCTGGCCCATCTGCTAGTGGCTACAGATGCCAGCCCCTCTGTGTCCTCAGCACTCGGGGAGCAGGGTGGGCGGGGGTCCTGATGGGCTGTGTGTGCCCCGCAGCACGCCCTGCGAATGCTGGCCTTCCGGCAGACCCACAAGGTCCTGGGCATGGATCTCCTGCCACCCAGACACCGGCTTGGGGCCCGCTTCCGGAAGAGGCAGCGGGGACCTGGCGAGGCCGAGGAGGGCCCAGGGGAGAAGAAGCGGGGCTGGCAGGATGGAGAGGGGCTCGTGTGAGCCACCTGCCTCCCCAACCTGCGGGCCTTCACATCCCTGCACTTCTGGACGTGTGCCCACTGACCAATGGCAGCATCATCCCTGCCGCTGGACAACAGTCGTTTCCTTTTGAGTAACGCTCTGTAGGTTTCTTTTAAAACACTTGTGCTTCAGGCCGGGCACCGTGGCTCATGCCTTTAATCCCAGCACTTTGGGAGGTCGAGTTGCTTGAGCCTGAGAGTTCAAGGCCAGCCTAGATGACAGAGTGAGACCCCCATCTCTCCAAAATATATTTTTAAAAATCAGCTTGGCGTGGTTGGTGGCCAGGCGCAGTGATTCATGCCTGTAATCCCAGCACTTTGAGAGGCCGAGGTGGGCGGATCACCTGAGGTCAGGAGTTCAAGACCAGCCTGGCCAACATGGCGAAACCCTGTCTCTAGTAAAAAAAAAAAAAAAAAAAAAAAAACACACACACACACACACACACACAGATTAGCCTGAAGTGTTGGTGCGCACCTGTAGTCCCAGCTACTTAGTAGGGAGGCTGAGTCCGGAAGATTCCTTGAGGCCAGGAGGGCAGTGAGCTATGATTGCACCATGGTACTCCAGCCTGGGGAACAGAAGACCTTGTCACTTAAGAGAAATTTTTTTTAACATTTGTGCTTAAATTGTTAGAGAAATGACACCATCCAGACCCGGGAGCAGCACCCCCTCCTGGAGGGCCTGGTCCCCCAGGCCAGGTGGGCCAGCAGTATAGCAAGCAGATTCTAAACTGGGGGGTTTCTTGCTGACTATAAACTCACCTTGTTTAGGAAGGGGTGAATTTAAAATACCTCCTTTGGGCCGGGCGCGGTGGCTCACGCCTACAATCCCAGCACTTCGGGAGGCCAAGCTTGGTGGATCGCTTGAGCCGAGGAGTTTGAGATCAGTCTGGGCGATATGGTGACACCCCATCTTTACAAACAATTAGCCAGATGTGGTGGCCCAAGCCTGTTGTCCCAGCTACTCAGGAGGCTGAGGCTGTAGGACCCCTTGAGCCCAGGAGGTCGCGGCTGCAGTGAGTCGAGATTGCACTACTGAACTCCGGCCTGGGTTACAGAGCAAGACCCTGTCTCAAACAAACAAACGAACAAACTTGCTTTGGATGCCTCTGCGGCATGGATTTGAAATCAGGCCCTGTTCTGGGGCCCTACCACGTGTGCAGGACAAGCCCAGGGGAGCTCCCAGCCGGCATCCCTGCATCCCCAGCCCAGCCTGCTCCGAACAGACCTTCCGCCCACTTCCACAGCTGGGGTGTCAGCAGGGCCTGAGCCAGGCTTGTCCCCTGTTGGGAGGGCCACAGGGCCAGGTGGACACAGCCGACGGGCGATGAGGATCCTGGCTGGGTCTCCCCCAGGAGCAGCTGTGCCTGACAGTCAGACCCGGAGCCCAGGGGCACCCCCACCCGCCCTGAGCCCTGTACCACTGAGTGCCTTTCACAGAGAAAACCTGTTCTGCCATGAGTCGCTGAGGCCTGGAGTTTAGCTTTCATCCTTCCTCCCTCCCTCCCTGATGTAGGCCTCGGCTGGCCCTGAGGCAGGGGATCCCCAAATACCCCCTTGTGGGAGCAGGGCCCAGGACCCGTGCCTGGGGGACCCGGGGAGGTGCCGCCATCCTATAGATGCTGGCCATGGTGGGCAGGCGCCTCCTGGCACTGATGGATGTGAGGGCACCCCCTTCTGAGCCCCCACCCCAACCTGTTCAAACCTCCCGCTTGGTCAGTTTTTTTTGGCCAGCTGCCCCGTGGCATTGAATGAGGAAAGTCCACCTTTGGGCAGATGTGGGCTCCAGCCACTGGCTTGGTTTTGTTTCTCCGTGTTTGAAGGACAGCGTGCGTGTGGCTCTGTCTCAATGTCTTTGTAGAGCTACCTGGAAACTGGGAGGCGGGGGAAATAAAGGAAATCATTTGTCTTCTGTGTGAGCCGTGCCGTCCTTCCCGCGGGATGTAGGTGACCCCAAATGCTGGCCTCTTCACCTCCTTCTCAGGGTCCTGGGTGGGGGTCTCCCAGAAACTGCAGCCTGAATGTGGACTGGGAGGGGCCCAAGGGGCTGGCACTGCTCAGTGGCTGCTCCCCAAGGCATGGGCATCCTCAGACTGTCCCCTCACAAGGGTCCCCTGGGAACACAGACACACCGGCTGAGAATCACCCATCCCAACGTCTCCCATAACCCAGCTCTCTGCCTCGGTCCTTGAGGGTTCCCCTGGCCCCATCCTAGAGACACACAGTGAGATGCTCCAGAGGCTCCCCGAGGGCTTCCTGGAGGAGGAGGTAACTACGCTGAGTTTGGAAGAGATGTCTCTGCCCACAGAGTACTTCCCCTGCCACGTTCCCAAACCCTCAGAAGGCAGGCGGAGGGTGTTCAGATGCTAAGGCCTGGTCACAGTGGAAGAGTTTCGTGACAGCTTCCGGCCCACAGGACTTCCCTGGCAGCGTTTGTCGGGGCAGGTGGGGAGCAGAGTGGGGAGGAGGCAGATGCAGGGTGGGGGCGGCGGGACGGGAGTGGCAGGGGCTGGGTGTGGAGGGACCGCTGTTTCACGCCTAGACCAAAGGAAGGGGGTGGGGAGCCACCAAGGGGTCCCCTTCTAGTAGGGATTATCTGTCAGCAACAGGAATTGCTGGTTTAGCCTCCCCGGAGGGCAGGCTGCCTCTCGGCCACTGGCCTCTTCCACCTCACACCCTCTCTCCTGCTTTCCACTCTATTCCAAATTTCTTGGGAACTTCACTTTCTTTCCTACACACTCCGTCCACACACAGCCCCTCTCTCTGTCAGCATCGCGGCAGCAGCATGGCCATTTACCCAGGGCCCAAGATGACAGCCACCACCACCAGGGAGCCCTCCTGGACTCCTCTGTGCTCCCGGCCAATCCATGAGGAGGATATCTTGTCAATTCCAGTTCCATTTTTTTTTTTTTTTTTTTTTTTTTTTGAGACAGGGTCTCACTCTGTCACCCAGGCTGGAGTGCAGCAGCTCGATCTCAGCTCACTGCAACCTCCGCCTCCTGGGTTCCAGCAATCCTCCCACCTCAGCCTTCCAAGTAGCTGGGACTACAGGCCTGCATCACCACGCCCAGCTAATTTTTTGTATTTTTAGTAGAGACGGGGTTTCACTATGTTGGCCAGACTGGTCTCAAACTCCTGACCTCAGGTGATCCGCCCGCCTCAGCCTCCCAAAGTGCTGGGATGACAGGCATGAGCCACCGCGCCCGGCCTATTCCTTGAGTTTAAACCATGCATCTTTGAAACGATTTGGTATGTGTCTTCCCCTTTAGAATGTGAACTCTCTGCCTGTCAGGAAGCCTGTTACCACCAATTGGATCGTCACTGTATTCCCAGATCTCGGGCAGGCCAGGTGGACACTGAGTCAACCTCAGTGCTTAGAGCCACGCTCTGACACCAAAAGACGTGTCTCCTTCGGGTGGTTAAGAGAACACCATTTGTTGGCCGGGAGCAGTGGCTTGTGCCTGTAATCCCAGCACTCTGGGAGGCCGAGGCGGGAGGATCACTTGAGGTCAGGAGTTTGAGACCAGCCTGGCCAACATGGTGAAACCCCGTCTCTACTAAAAATATCAAAAATTAGCTGGGCATGGTGGTGGGCGCCCGTAATTCCAGCTACTTGGAAGCTGAGACAGGAGAATCGCTTGAACCCGGGAGGCAGAAGTTGTGGTGAGCTGAGATCGCACCGCTGCACTCCAGCCTGGGCAACACAGTGAGACTCTGTCTCAAATTTGTCTCCATCTCATTACCGGAGAGAGACTCCAGCTAAGGCTGTGGGGACAGAGGGAAGGGACAGGGGAAGGGGCACGCCCTGGCAGGCCTGGCGATCACAGTAGCCCCTGGTGGGAGGCACCTCATCCCCTGCTGTGAACCCCAGGCCTTACCTGCAGCCTTCTTCCTCCCTTACACCCTGGGAGAGGCGGCTCTCGGAAGCCTCCCACCCACGGTTCCCGTTCCCATCCCCGGCTCCCCGGGAAGCCAAACAGGATTCCCACCACCAGGTGGTTGAAAACCAGCCCCGCTGACAAAGAGTTAAGTCGGCCCTCCTAGCAACTCCAAAAAACCAAGTTTAGGCAGCGCGACAGCAAAATCAAGCAGTTGGTTAGCAAAAGGATTGGGTGCAGATGGATGGACCGTCTGGGCTACGGAGCCCACGGGCCTGAAAAGCAGTCGCTCCTGACCCGTCCTGCCCAGCCCTCGTCCCACCGGGCCGCGGTCCCCGGAGCAGGCCGGCGGGTGGCGGGAAGACACCGGGCTGCAGGGGGCTGGAGAGGCAACCCCTCCCTCCCTCCCCGCCAGAGCACTGGAGCGCGGGGACCTCGGCTGCGGATGCTGGCGGCGAGCCGGGTTGCTAGGCGACATCGGTGAGTGTGGGCGGGATGATACCGGGCGTGTGGGCAGGGCTGGAACCCAATCCGGCAGGCGGGGCTGGAAAGACAAAAACGGAAGGGCAGGCTGTCACCTGCATCTGCAAGGTCAGGGACAGGACAGGACGGAGAGGCGGCCGCTAAGATGCCCTGAGTCCCGCAGCCTTGCAGGCAGCATCTCCCTGGCCAGGCTCAGGGGGCGTTTGGGAAAAGATTGGTGCCCGTCTTGTCCCAGGATGCCTCCCTGGTTTAGCTTCTGGGACAGAGAAGATGTTTCGGGTGATCGGATTAAGACCCACTTTCCTGGTTAAGGTGGAGAAGCCACCCTGGGTGGAAAATGGTCCCTCCCAAGTTTTGCACATGAAATGCATTAGGAAGCATCGGCCAGGTGCAATGGCTCACGCCTGCAATCGCAGCACTGAGAGGCCGAGGCGGGCGGATCACCTGAGGTCAGGAGTTTGAAAGCCCGTCTCTACTAAAAATACAAAAATTAGCTGGGTGTGGTGGCGCACGCCTATGATCCCAGCTACTCGGGAGGCTGAGGCAGGAGAATCGCTTGAACCCAGAGACCAAGGTTGCGGTGAGCTGAGATGGTGCCACTGCACTCCAGCCTGGATGAGAGAGCAAGACTCCGTCTCAAAAAAAAAATAAATAAAAATAATAAAATAAAAAATGATGATGGCAAATTTTATGTTACATGTATTTTTCCACATAAATGTTTTTACTGTGAATTGGGTTTTTCCCATTATGAAAAACTTGGACAATCCAGAAAAATGGAAGAAGGAAAACAAAACAATCACAAAACAATCAACCACTGTGAACACTCCATTTCCCTTCCGCTTTCTTTTCCTTTTTTTTTCCCCTGGAGA